CATGAACTTGACAATGGGAGACTAGACTAGTGGAAAGCACATGCACAATGAGTAGAGATCAACAAGGTAAAGATCCGGAACATGAACTTGACAATTAGAGACTAGACTAGTGGAAAGCACATGCACAATGAAGGGAAGATCATCCGGAACATCACACCAAGTATGAACGTGATAATGAGTGGCTAGACTAATGGAAAAGCACATGCAAATGAAGGGAAGATCATCCGGAACATCACACCAAGTAGGAACATGACAAGGAGATGCTAGAACTAGATGGAAAACACATGCACATAGACAAAAGATCATCTGGAACATTACACCAAGTAGGAACATGACAATAAGTGGCTAAACTAATGAAAAAGCACATGCACATGAACGGAAGATCATCCGGAACATTACACCAAGTAGGAACATGACAAGGAGATGCCAGACTAATGAAAAGCACATGTACATAGAGGGAAGATCATCCGGAACATTACACCAAGTAGGAATATGACAATGAGTGGCTAAACTAATGAAAAAGCACATGCACATGAAGGGAAGGTCATCGGGAACATTACACCAAGTAGGAACATGACAAGGAGATGCTAGACTAATGAAAAGCACAAGTACATAGAGGGTATATCATCCGGAACATTACACCACGTAGAAACATGACAATGAGTGGCTAGACTAATGGAAAAGCACATGCACATGAAGGGAAGATCATCCGGAACATTACACCAAGTAGGAACATCACAAGGAGATGCTAAACTAATGAAAAGCACATGTACATAGAGGGAAGATCAGTCGGAACCCTACACCAAGTAGGAACATGACAATGAGTGGCTAGACTAATGAAAAGGCACATGCACATGAAGGGAAGATCATCCGGAACACTACACCAAGTAGGAACATGACAAAGAGATGCTAGACTAATGGAAGGCACATGCATATGAAGGGAAGTTCATCCGGAACATCACACCAAGTATGAACAATACAAAGAGATGCTAGAGCTAGATGGAAAGCACATGCATA